CATAATGTATGTCTATATCACAGTACATAAACTTTGTCTCATTTGTTTGCCAACCTGCAGCCATTCTATTTTTCCATGTACTAGTTGGACTGTGGCTTCCTAGCATGTTTAGATTTTCACATAAACACAATGAAGCATTCTGAGATTTCATTTTTGCTGCCACCAACCATAAACAGAACAACTTGCTTGCATGCTCTGTCAGTTTCAGACAAATGTTGATCCTCTCCTGCCCCAGTGGTTGACTGTAAATTGGATATTCATCATATTAAAGTCTAATTGATATTTTGTCATTGACTGTATTGTACCAAATAGTTATTATATTTTTCCTTATTTTGAAAACAACATTGTTCCTTTATTGTTTTTCATATTCTAAATCAGTGTTTCTCAACCTTGACAATTTTAAGGCATGTGGACTTCAACTCTCAGAATTCCACAGCCAGCAATGCTGGCTATGGAATTCTGGGAGTTGAAGTCCACATGCCTTAAAATTGTCAAGGTTGAGAAACACTGTTCTAAATAGTAAATAATGTATTTTGACTGAAGGAGTCCAGTTCCTGTCCATTTTAATTTGCTAGTGCCTGTGTAGTTGATTCATTTCATATTTTACTCTATTTAATTTTCCTGTTGTTCAAGTTTCTCTGTCTTTGCAGTTTCAGATCTTATTTTCCTGCAAGGCAACATCAGGAAGTAGATGTCCCAAAGGTTTTAATCTAGTCAGCTTTTCCTCAGTAGCATGTTAAGTGCCAGTTGACCCGAGGGGCCCGTCATCCAGTTATACTATATATGTATGTGGTTTTCTTGTTAAAGTATCAGTGTAAGTTTACCAAGTTGCTTTCTCCCACATAGTATGAAATATTGCCTTTACCCTCATCACTGAAGTAATCATTTACTTACAGCATCTTCCTATAACAATTGCTACCTAATACAGCTGCCTATTTGCTTTAGCTGGGCAGTTGGCCTGACCTTCATGCTTTGGTTGACCCTGCTGGGATTATGTATTCTTGACATACACTCCCAGTGTTCTTTACACATCCCATCCAGGAACAGACACATACACACATTACAGTGAGGCGGAAAAATAGGACTTGACATTAATTATATTAGTCCTATTATAAGGATATGTTTGCATTCAATGAGCTCTGATGTTTATGAAATGTGCCATGTCCAAAATGACAATGAAATCTTATAGGTCAGTGGTGGTGAACCTATGGCACTCAGAGCCCTCTCTATGGGCACGTGTGCCGTTGCCTCAGCAGAGTTCACCAGAATAGCGAGCACATCCCATTTGGAAGCAACAGGGCAGGAAGTGAGCAAGCTAGCAGCGTTGGCCCCCTGGAGTTGCCCCGGAGATGGCAAGGGACTGGTTCCAGCCACGCTCATCCAGTCTGCCATGACCACTTCAGCCACGCCCACCCAGTGAGCCATGTCCCTCTACCCCCCCCTCCCCCGAGGGCACCATAGTGCTGATGCAGCCCTGGCACTTTGCGATAAATAAGTGGGTTTGGGGTTGCAGTTTGGGCACTCAGTCTCTAAAAGGTTCGCCATCTCTGTTATCTTTTTTTTTTTATTGAAAAGTTTTACAAAAATTGCAAAATATACCCCAAACCCCCCCTAGCCCCCTACCCCACTTCCCAGAGCTGAATACAGGGTAACAAATATAATAATCTTAATCTAACTAACATTAACCAACTATATAGATAAACAAATATAATGTGCTTTAACTCTCTTTCAACACAGAGTAAACAATTTACAAATAAACTTTATCATATAAACAAATTAAAATCCCAATCCATAAACAATACAATATAATAAAAATTCCCCTACACTAAACTATTATTATTATTATTAATAATAATATTCAATAATTTATTCATAAAATAAATGGAACTTTTTAGTCCCATATTTATTCTGAATATAATCTATCCATCTTCTCCAAACCGAAATGTATCTTTCTTGTGAATAATCCTTCAAATAAGCAGAAATCTTAGCCATTTCTGCTAGATTTGACACTTTAAGCGTCCATTCTTCTAGGTTTATCTTTTTGAACGAATTGCTATTCTGAGAAATAATGTAACTGCAAGATCGGAACAAAGGTCCATCTAATATACCACCTTTTTTGCTATAACATGATGCCTATAGGTAGCCTTGAACAAGAAAACAGCCTTTTCATGTTGTTTCTTCTTCTACAACCTGACACCCTCCAGATGTGTTAGACCTCATATCCCATGATTCCAAGATAGCATATCTGGAAATTATGCGAGTTGATGTCCATTTTTTCTGTAGAACAAAAGGATAAAGAAGGCTGGGCTATAATATTATGAATAATATCCAGCGGTATTTGTATTCTCTGTTAATTTATCTATTACCTACAGAAGGCATCCAGGCTAATACCTGGTTTTTACAAATAATTCATAAAACTATAAGTATGGGAAATGGTTACTTATACTAGGAACCATCAATCTAGAAATGTGCATTTTAAACCTCATTAAAATGTCAAAGTGGTACATGAAGAAAAATAAAAAGAATTTCAAAATAAGGATTTTACATATACTAATGTTTTTGAAAATAATATTTTTAATTGCCAGTTGGGAAACTTCAAACTTCCAAGACAGTGTGAAAAACTGTCATAAGTTGCTTTTTTCAGTGCCACTGTAACTTCAAACAGCCACTAAACAAACTGTTTTAAGTTGAATGTTATTTGTACCTAGAAGCTTTGTGGGATCCAGAACAGCTTCTGGAGCAGTAGTATAATACAAATGTAGTAATGCCAAAAAATTGCCCACACTTCTGCATTCAGCACTAGCTGCAGCTTTGAATGCCTCAGATTACATCACAACAGCCCCAGGACAAAATTCAGATTTAATTTGCAACTACCAATGTACATCAAGCCTCAATTACTTGGGATAGGTCCCTGGTTACCATGGAGACCACAAATTCCTGAGCTGCCTTGGACTCAACCCATATTCCTTCATTTCTCCAACTTTTGCATTCCAATCATTTATCGGTGATACTGATGTACTTTCATGTAGCAGCTTTTACAATTATCGGCTAAAATTTTCACTACATGTGTAATGGGAGCATATAATTGTACAGTGTTGATACTAACCAAATATCTATGACTTCTAATAGATAGGTTTCTGTAGTATAGAGTTATAGCTAAGCACACAGCAGTTTCATAATTTCACGTGGGTCACTGATTTTCACATTCCATGTTTTCATTTAGTGTGCCAATTCTAATATCCTTGTATGGTAAAGAAAGCTAACTTAATATTGGCAAGTTCAATATCTATAGTTGTTTTTGGCATTGGTCTGGTTATGTTATGACATTTGGATCCACTAGTGAAATTACAACTTTCTTCCTGTAAAAGTTGGTTGCTTGTCTTCTTTCTGTCAATGTGCATAAGAATGTCCCTTGGATTTTAATTTTGCAAAATGTATACTACTCCTATAGGCCTTATCAGCCTCTTTACTCACAATCTTTTCCATGTTGTGGAGTTACTCTAAGTCTTAAGCAAAATTATTTTTCTGTTAATTCAAATAGTGCCAAACTGTCCAACTCTTCCTTCATCTCTCTCTTTATAACTTCTGTCTTACTTTCCAAAACTTTGTCAATAATTTGTTTTACATTTGCAGTCAGTTGCCTTACAGATCCTCTTTTAAAAATTCAGGGGCACTATTTTTTTCATTAAATGAATGAGAAAAGTTATAAGAAATGAAGATGGTAGATTGAACATAATTTGAACAAAATGAAAGGCTTTCTAAAATGCTACTTTCATGGAGGTTGAAAATGAGACAAGAAGATGGAGAAGGGTTTATGACAATTACTTGATAGAAAGAAGAGGGGAAGGCACAATTGTATGTTTTTTGTCAATTTGTTTTTTGTTTCTGTGTTCCTTATTTTTCTATCTTTGCTCTTGTTTGTTTTGTGTATTTTATTATATTGAAAATTTCTAATAAAAACTTAAAATGCTAATTTCACATCTTGGTTTAAAGCCATTTTCATATTTTGAGCCATACTTTCATTTGAAGCATTGCTATCTTTGTGGATGCTATTTTCCTTCTCCTTCATAACAGCACTTGGACAACACTAACAAAAGCTTGAAATCTTTGACTGATATTTATTGTGAACTGCTTACAAAACTGGAGACTTCAAAGCTGTGGTTTTAAGGTTGACTACGTTTTCCTGTTTGTTTACACAGGGCAGGGTGGTGGCAGAAGAGTGAAGAAAGAACAGAATCAATAGCTAGAAAAGAAAAAGTGAGCCTTTGAAAGGTTAAAATGAATAGGCTTAAGTTGCCAATTCAACATCCCTTTCCTACCTGTAATCAACGCTCACTCCAAGCAGAGTTTTTCTTTAAAAAATTCTTTTTCAAACATGAAAACTTTAAAATGTCTGGTCTTTAGCTCTTGGAATGCCCCAGCCAGTTGGCATGGAAGAAATCCTAAACATAATTTCTTTGATTCGGGTAATATGGTAAAGTATATTTATTCTAGTCTGGTAGGGAAAGTGAATCCATTAGGGGGAGGAGATGAGGAGTGCCTAAATCATATCATATACATATGATATGTGTTGCCTAACTGCAGTCCATCAACTCCAATAAAAGCATTGTGTGTTCTGAAGCATCCATGGCAAGGATGTGCTTTGCTGTGTTATTTTAGAGAGCCATATAGTCATATTCTGCTTGGAAGGGCCTTATTTTCATCACCCACTGCTGGAAACCTTTCTTAACCCTTCATTGCTTTTCATGGAAGAGTAGAGCTCATGAAGTTTTGATGTTCTTTGAAAGGAGAGGTTGCTGTAATGTGAATACAAAGCATATTTATTTTATGCAGTACATCTGCTTGACAAAGCTTATTTTTAAAAACAGATAACCTTATCTAAAGCATAGTCTGCAGCTTTGGTGACCAGTGGAGTTTAGCTACTTTCCGGTATGTAATGTGTCTATATGGTCATCTTCCATCTGGACATTAACTTTATGTTCTAAATTTTATTTCTGCAGCTTCCAGTTATGGGAGGAGTGTTTATGGGCTCGTCCAATGAAGAATTTAGCACGGAATATTCTTTGTTTAATTCATCTGCCAATGTCTACACTACTGCCTCAGTGCCAAACCAGCCAGAAGAGACATCACGTTCTTCAAATGATGCCATTTTGTTATGGATTGCAATTATAGCCACAATTGGGAACATTGTAGTTGTTGGAGTTGTATATGCATTTACATTTTGAGAAGAAGAACAACTCCAGGAGAAAGAGTTGCTTTGCCATCATTCCTAAGAGCAGATGTATGCGTATGTATGTACAGTATGTGCACCTACCTATATAAAATGTAAATCTTTATAAATATTGGTAGGTAGATGTAATTTGTTATCTAAGTCCCAATTAAGAGCAAGTGGCAAACAAAATCACCAAAATACCATAAAACGTTTTTTGTAAATTATGTGAAGATGAAACATAATTTACGTCATAGCCAATTAAATATGGATCTTACATGAAAGGTCAATGCACATACTGTAAATGGAAAAGCAGATTTGTTCATCAAGGGCTCTATTGTGAATATATAGGTTATCTAAATAATCTTTGGATTAAATATTGGATACATTTTGTCTGTTTTTTTTTTTTTTAATTTAGTGCAAGCATCCCAATTGTTACATTCTGTGGCAGTCTAATTCTCTTGCTCTCTAAAGGCACAAAGCAAATGAAATTTCAATTCATTTTGAAGTCTGCTGGGGAAAAATGGTCAGGGTGTTTACTCTTAAGTAGTGCAGAGCCTCACAAGTGAAATGTACATTATTCACAGAAATTTCACAAATGGATAGATTCCTATTGTAGGCTAGATTTAATTTTTCAAAGCTTTCTCTGAGGGAGAAAGAAAATCACAAGGAGTCCTAAAAATATCCACATGTCTGAGTTTGAAAACAGCCATAGAAATTATAAATCTTCATTTAGGGGAGACTGACTGGACAGGGCGATTTTGCAAAATGGATGGATTAAGAATCTTTTCTTTCAGGAGTGTTGGAGTTTTCCTATATATTTTTAAGGGGTTGGAAACCAAACTACCGAATTTGAACTATCCAGTTGAATGGGCTTGGACAGCTAGAGCAAAGAAATTTAGAGGTAACCAATTGCAATTCCAAAACTATCTCACTTCGAGATTATGGTGCAAATTAGTGCGCACCAATCTTTCTTAAGACTAAGAACCATATTGGAAGTTTTCTATAACTATGCTATAAAATCTGTTTTCCTTTTGCCAATTTTATGGAGATGTATTTTAAAATGGATATTTTTTATTTTTTTAGAAACTTTATTTATGTGTAATTTTTGGTTTCCTTTATAACATAATGGATATTTTTTGTTTATTTAATACATTTATAATCTGTGTTTCCTCCAGAAATTTAAGGATACTCTTTTTCCATGTTTTTACTACAAACACAGTCCTAAGAGATAAGTTAACTAAGAACTTTTAATTGGGGTGCTAAGAGTGATTAGCTTAAGGTTATCTAATAAATTGCTATTGAAGAAGGACTTGAACCTGGTCCTAATCCAATATCTAAATCATTTTATGACACTAGCTGTCATCATATGATTTGAGGTGCCAAACTTTTCTTCTTTCCCTTCATTTTATCCCATATAAATAATTGACAAATAGCCATTGTCCATTAAGATTGTGTAAAGGATTTGAAAAGATGCTTTGTGAAGTTCATCAATGCCTCCTTAAAGTGATGGGGCAGGGGCAGTCTTCTATGAAAGGCTTGACCTAGTTGTTTCCAAAGTTTTTTTTTTTTTCAAATTATTTTAACATGCACATTCTGGTAGCCATCAGTGAGAAAATTCATGAGCTCTACTCTTTCTTCTGATAGGTCATTTCTTTTTTAACTGATATTGGACTGGATAGTTCTTTAAATAGAAAATGATCCTCCAAAAGTAGGACATGCAATCATCATAATGTCTCCGTTTTTTCCAGGGATTTCAATATATTCTGGCTACTTGCATGCAAAATGAATTTCTCCAATTTCTTCACTTTAAAACATAAATAAAAGCAAAGTTAATTTACATTCCCTAATGTTTTTCAAGAACATGTCCATCTTCATAATTAGATGAGCAAACGGCAAATCATTTCTCCATGGAATGCAGCAAAACATACTCTTTTTTCCCCTCCCAGCTGATCCATTCTTTATGATTTTGCCAATAAAATGTTTCACTTAGATTAATTTGTGGGGGGTTTATCCAAGTGCGGTCAGTAGTATGAGTAGTTCTCTACTTATGACCACATGACCTTTTTATGACATTTTTGCCACACTTGTTAACGTGAGTCACTGCAGTTGTTACGTTACTAACATGGTTATTAAGTGACTCTGGCTTCCCCACTGACTTTGCTTGCCAGAAGGTTGCAAAGGGACATCACAGCACCATTGGACACTGCAACCGTCCTAAATATATGCCAGTTGTCAAGCATCCAAATTTTGAGCAAATGACCACGGAGATGCTGCAATGATCGTTAAGTGTGAAAAACAGTCATAAGTCACTTTTTCTAGCGCTATTGTAACTTCGGACAGTTACTAAATGAATGGTTATAAGTTGAGAACAACCTATACTTTCTTTTTCAGAGTTTGAAATATCCTCGGTGGATAAAGAAAAGACTAGAATTAACTAGAAGACTAGCAGGGAATTGACAATATTTTAGAAAGTAACCTAATATAGAACATATGCAATTATTCCGGAAAACAAGATTCCCCCTCCACATTGTCTTGTAAATTGCTGTTTCTCAATATTCTGTGAATGTTAGTTGCTCCTCCTGATCCCAAGATCTGTTTGTGGAAGAGAGTAGAAATTTTCTTACCCTTTCTCTTCCTGACCACACTGACTGCCCAGGTTCTTCCAAAGCATTGCACTTTGAAAATTTCCAATCCAGCTAGATTGGATGAATTGAGGCAGAGGAGGAAATGTGTATATTCAGGAAGTTTCCTGATTAAAGAAATGAAAGTTTGATAAGACTTTTTGTTGAGAAATCCAAGCTGACTTGGTAATTACCGCAGGTCAGGGGTTGTTTTTTTAAAAAAATAAATACGTAATTGTTCATAATGCTATAATACAGAATAGAAAGATGACAGCATGTCAGAAATATTTGTGATATACTTTACTGTGAGGAGATCAAAATTGTTACTGCATGTATATGATTATATCCCTTGTGTCAATTATAGTTCACAGGGGACACAATTTGTAATATTAATCATAGTGATGAGGTTGCTCTCATTTCTAATTCTCACAGGACTGTGGAGATGAAAAGAATCTCCATCTTTTGTAATCCCTAGCTCAGTGCAAGATTCTTGCTACCAAGTGTCCTAACAAAAGAGTCATTTAACTTTTGCTTAAATACCTCTAGTAAGGAATAGCCCATCATTTCTTAACACAGTCTGTTTAGTTTCTGCAGAGAAAAAGCTTAACTCAAATCCCCTACCCTGCATTAATTCTAGTTCTGCTCTCCACATCACCTAGAGAGATCCCATTTGTCATAAATGTCTTAAAATCGTGGGGTCCTCTTCTGCATTAACACTGTAATGAGTAAAAGTGCATTCTTTCTTGAGCTGGACTTGACACTAGGTGGCTTCATGGGCACATCTTTATATTTTTTGGCAACAACACAAAAGTACTTTTGCCTTTACCAGCTGAGGCTAGTCACTGCCCTCTTCAGACATTCCTGGTAACAGTTACAAGCTTAAATCTTTTTATAAAACTACCTGAATTCATTTTAAAAAGAAGGGAAAATACCCTACATTATGTTGGAAACCTCAGTAAGATAAAGGAGAAACGTTTGTTTTGATAACTGTGAACAGGTGGTGTGTGGTGTAATAAATTGTTGCTGCTTTGCATTTTCTAATGCATCTTGACAACAACTTTAGAATTGAAGCTGTTTATAAAAATGCATCGTGTATACAAAGTTGCAGTGTTCTATGTTAATAATTTTGATGTAAATTTATAATGTGGATAGTTCTGTAGTAGGTGGATAGATCATTTATTTATACTAAAAATTGTTTTGCAAGACTGTGTGTATTCTCTCTTGCTGTTCTTTTGCAATCTGGTGGTAATCGTTCACATGTTTATAAAGCTTTGTACAACATGTCACGGTTTTGCAAAACATATCCTTCCTATTTTTCTTAAGTATTTTAAGGCAACAGCCATTCAGACAAGTAGAGAAGTCCTAAAATCTATACTGTAGTGTGCTCCGAAATGAAAATTTTTGACACTAGTTTTGTTAGAAAACTGGTATTTTCATAGGACCAATGTTAAATATCTTGCCTTTAATAGTTTTTAAGAATGTTCATAAGAAACAAACGAACTGGGTACTGAAACTGCCATTTAAATTTTTTATGAGCATTACACCAAGTACTGTATTTAATTAAAAGATATCTCCAAGTCTCCTTTAATTGGAGCACTGCGCTGCAATTGTCGAATAAGCCCATCAGGAGTTTATCCGCACTGCACCAACAATTGCACTGCTATTATCCAGTATAAGCCCAAGAACAGGACCAAATCAGTCTCTTTACATTTGCCATTGATTCAAGCCTTATTACTGATCTGGAGGTAAGGCAAATAGGATATCCATGAATAAATCACGGGTGAAATTGGAGATGACTGAGATATTAGCCTTGGACAGAGATAGAAATTATCCAGGATAAGAAAGGCAGAGGGGTGTATCAAAGAATGAAAAATAAGTCCTAATAAGCCTTGCTATGTATAGTTGAATTGCTAACATAATGTAACACAAGCTTCAGGCTTCCCAGGTTAATTTGGAAGAGGTTTCTAACATTCATTTTATCTGAGAAAAAAGTTATTTTGTATAGTTCCTGATTGTGTAGAGTAGGGTTTCCCTTGGCATCTTTAAGACGTGTGGACTTCAGCATGACTGGCTGGGAAATTCGGGAAGTTGAAGTCCATGTGCTTTAAAGTTCCCGTGGTTGGGAAACCCTGATATAGAGGATTCCATTGTCTTTAACCAAGACACTTTGTTTTAAACCTGCCTGTTTCAAAGACTGAGAATTGAATGATCAGAACGGAAAATAACGAATGCCCACAATTATGTTCTATCCTAAACACATCTTAGCTCAGGTAAACAGTTTGTACGCTTGCATGACACTAGGAAAAAGATGTGAGACCAGAAGCTACAGAGCCAAGTAAGGCTGAACTTTACATATTGACAATTAGCAGAATAATAAGTATATAATAGATTATCATAATCTTAATTGACAAGATTATGATAAATTAATAATCTTTGAGGAAATTCTGTATACTTGCTTTAAACACTTTCTTATACTAGTTGGTTCTTTTTGAAACACCATCAATTGTACATTTTTTTTTCTTATATACATTGGTCTACTGATACTTTTATTCCTGTAAGATAGTCTTGCTAGATGGGGGTTGTGAATAGAGAAGAAAAATCCAGATGTTTCTACTTGGGTTTTGCAAAACAACTTGTGTATTTATGACTGAATTAAGCAAATGTTATTACAATGTTCCTTCTTTATAGTCTTCACTATTGATGTAATTATTGTTATTGACTGGTTAGGTGGCAGATGCCTTTGTTAAAATGATAACTTGTACTGTAAAAGAACCTGATATTAAAGTAATGTTTGCAAATGTTAATACTTTCCTTTAATCATGAAAAAGGTTTTGCCTTTGTTACAGTGTTTCATCAAACCCAAACTGACTGGGAAACGATCCAAATGTAAAAGCTATTTTGGAATATGTAGCAAAAAAGAAAAAATTCTTCAGAATAACAATATTAGATCTAGCCAGAATCTATATTTGCTGTCATCATTCGTCTTTTGAAAGAAGAATAGTTTCCTTCTCTTCATGGAGGAGATTATTGTCTAAGCCCAGATAGTTTAAGTCATACAACGTGCTAAGCCAAAGCACAATGTATAAACATGGTGTCTATAAGATGTTTTTTCTCATGAATCCTGTATCTCCCATATGAACAGAAAAATACTACTACTCATATTGTTATGGAACCAGAGAAGAATTTGTTTAACATATTCCCAAATCAAAAGTGGGTTATCCACAGTATGGAATCTATTGAAGAGGATTTGGGGCAAGCCAGATTTTTCACATAAGTACATATAAATGCAGCACACTTTTTGTGGGGTAAATAATATTATGCAGATCTTTGAAAGAATAAGAATGAAAGATAAGGGAAAAGAATGAAAATCAGATTTATGCAGTGTCATTCATTCTACCTCTTCATAACTTTAAAACTCTTTTTTGACCAAGTCCACATTCTTGGTAAGCTAGAAAAAGGTGGAATAGACAACATCACCACCAGATGGATCTATAGCTGCCTGGCAAACGGTACTCAGGGAGTAATCCTCAATGGCACTACATTCACATGGAGAGAAGCAAGCAGCGGGGTGCCGCAAAGTTCCATCTTAGGCCCAATACTCTTCAATATCTTCATAAATAACTTAGATGAGGGAATTGAAGGGGAACTCATTAAATTTGCAGATTACACCAAACTGACAGGAGTAGCCAACACCCCAGAATTCAAACTCAGGATCCAAACAGATCTTGAAAACTTGAACAATGGGCCCTATCCAACAAAATGAGTTTTAACATTTAAGCAAGAAAAATCAAAGCTACAAGTACAGATTTGGTGAGACCCAGCTTAAAAACAGTAACTGAGAGGGACCTTGGAGTCCTAGTGGATGATTACTTGACCATGAGCCAGCAGTGTGCAGCAGCAACCAAAAAAGCTAATATAATCCTGGGTTGTATAAACAAGCATAGAATCAAGATCATGTGAAATATTAGTACTGCTTTATAAAACCCTAGTAAGGCCACACCTGGAATACTGCAGCCAATTTTGGTTGCCATATCACAAAAAAGATGTTGAGAGTTTGGAAAAAATTCAGAGAAGAACAACTAAGATGATCAAAGGCCTGGAGACTAAAACATATGCAGAAAAGCTGCGGGACCTAGGTTTGACTAGTCTAAAGAAAAGAAGAAATGGAGACATGATAGCAGTATACTAGTATCTGAGGCGCTGCCACAAGGAAGAGGGGTCACGTTATGCACCACAGCACCAGAGGGAAGGACAAGAAACAATGGTTGGAAACTGACCAAAGAGAGAAGCAACATGGAATTAAGGTGAAACTTCCTGACAGTGAGGACAATTAACCAGTGGAACAGCTTTCCTCCAGAAATCGTGGGTGCTCCATCACTGGGGATTTTTAAGAAGAGACTAGACAGTCATCTGTCTGAGATGGTATAGGTTCTCCTGCTTGAGCAGGGGGCTGGACTAGAAGAAGTCCAATGTCCCAGCTCTATTCTATTCTACATGTGTTGCCTTTGGTTCTTTAAACTTCCTTTTACAGGGTTTTGTT